ATGTGAATATCCTGACTCTTAAAACTCACCATTTTGCGTTGATTCAGATCAACACACTAAAATCCTTTATAGCAAGAAAATATTTTAAAACATGCAATAAAATATTTCTCATTTCTAACAGGCCATAACTCAAGGTGTATAGCAAGTTTTTTAAGATCCTTTATCACACTAAAATTATTCTTAAACCTGCCTTTATCACACTAAAATTATTCTTAAACCTGCCTTTATCATCGTTGTACTTCACTATTTTGGTTGGTTTTTTCCCAAAATAACATAAACATTTTCAATATATTTACAAATAATGGAGCCTCTTGAGCAGGCTTAGATTCAATATAACCATAAAAATGCTAGTTATTTTTCATGGACTCATTGTTATGATAAAGAAACCTACGATGTCCCATGAAGCAAATTTTCTTTCCATTATAAGAAATGAATTTTTATAACCTCATAGTTACAAGAAGAACAAGCTAGACATGTGTATATATATACTAACCTAACAAATTTTTCAAGTTCAGAAAAATTGCTAATAGTTTATAACAGAGATGTCCGTATGCAGAAGATGTCTTTCTTTGAAGCATCAAAGGTCGACTCATCTTTATACCAGTTCTTTTAATTTTCTAATAAGAGACTAGAGATATACATCAATGTCATCACCAAGCATGTGTTTTTTAGGAGTATCATTGGAAAGACTGTTGATGTTTACTCCATTGTCATCCATGAAGGAAAGTTGTAAGGAAACAAAAGCACAATCCAAATTCTGTAGTTCCAAAAGCGTTAAACCCATTAGTTGCTAATCCTAATCTAAATATTTTTGTTTTTTTTGTCATCCGAAATTAATTAGAACTCAAAAGAGCCATTCCTGAGGAATGTTGTTTACATATGTGATATGAAGCGGTTCTGTACGAACTTTTCGTGTCAGATTATCCGCTTTAACATTAGCATTACGAGAAATTAAAGATAAAGAGAAGGTTGAAAATTCTTCCTTGTCGCTCTGAAATTCCTCCAAATAAACTGAAAACGCCGGCCATTCGGTTGGAGAAGACACCATCTTCACCAGATCAGAACAGTCTGTAAAGAACGCTACCTCTTGATTATCTGCACCAATCATACACTTCATCGCCTAGAGAAGGGCCTTGACTTCTGTATGTAATGGAGATAGACTTCTACGGAGGTTGGCAGCTCCCATGGTTGGCGGCTCTCCGTTTGATGATGTACAGAACCACCCTGTACCGGAGAACTTGTCACTTTCTTTCCATGATCCATCTACAAAGCAACGGTATCCAGAATAATTCGAATCAAGTGAAGCATCTCCCACTCGAGATTGAGTTACCAATTCCACATGACCATGATTTCCATTATGAAGCTCACTTTGGGCTGACTGCCACAATTGTGCTTCTTTTTCCGCTAACCGTAATACCTCTAACGGATCTTTATCAATATTTTCAAAGATTTTTTCATTCCTTGCTTTCCAAATATACCAGATAATCCATGGAAAGGCTGATGAATCAAATTCTTAAGGTATTCTCCAAAATAAGTGATCCAAATTCGTAAAAATAGATTCCGTTGGAAAATTTCCCATAGCCGTAGGAACCTGGGAAAGCGCCTAAATCTGCCGTGCCGCGTGGCACTGAAAGAGTGTATGATTGATTGTTTCCACTGGTTCGCGACATCTGACACAACCTGTGTCACAAATAATTCCTCTTTTCCGTAAATTTTCCGTAACTGGTACACAACCCGTTAAGATTTGCCACAAGAAATGACGTATTTTAGGTGGACAATGCACTTGCCAAGAATGTGCTTTTAACGGTCTGATGTCTGGGCCAATCAAAGAGAAAGTGGTCTCCGACTTTTCTATCCGTGTGGTATGATATCCCGATTTGACTGTATATTTTCCGGATTTTGTAAAATGCCAACCCAGTGTATCTTCCTTTGTTGGCGCACCCACATGTAGGGCACTTATTAGGGCGACATCTTCTGGATCAAAGATCTCTTTTAAGAGATCAATGTTCCAAAAGTTCGACCGACTATCTATAAGATTGTTAACTTTTAACAATGGATCCACAAGTGAACCATTACTCTTTGCTGGTCTCGGGAATTGAGCTGGTATCCAGGGATCCTCCCAAACTGAGATGGATGTCCCCGATCCGACTCTTTTAATAAGTCCTTTATTAACCAGAGATCTAGCTGAACAGATACTACGCCATCCATATGATGGGGAGTATGATTTTATATTTTCCAAAGGATTGGATTTCCGAAAATACCGCCCTTTAAACACCTTCGCGAAAAGAGAATCTGGAACCGTAATCAAACGCCATAATTGTTTTGCTAATAGGGCTGAATTAAAATCGTCTACATTCCGAAAACCTAACCCCCCTTCCGATTTGCTATTGCACAACTTGTTCCAAGCCATCCAGTGCATACCTCTAGAATCCCCATTTGAACTCCACCAAAAATTAGCAACCGCACTAGTAAGTTTAGAAGTAATTGTTTTGGGTAGTCTGAAGCACGACATAACATAAGTTGGTAATGCTGCAGCTACCGATTTAATCATCACTTCTTTCCCACCTTTCGATAAAAATTTTGCCGACCATCCGTTAATTCTTGTTTGCAATCTATCTCTAACAAAAGAGAAAATTTTTGTTTTAGAGCCACCTAAACTCTCCGGCAATCCGAGATACGAGCCCATACCACCGATATTAGTGATTCCCAAGGTAGCTTTGATTTCATCCTTGATATTATCATCTACCTTATGTCCAAACTGAATCGATGATTTTAAAAAATTTATCTGTTGTCCCGAGACTGCTTCATACGTCTTTAAAATTCCCAAAATTACCTCACACTGGTCCTTATTTGCGTTTGCTAAATATTTTTGGTTCTAATGAAAAATCAAGAAAATATTGGTTGAATGTTTTTCAGGCGTTTTATCTTTATGATGTATTAACTTACCATATTTGTTTTCAAAATTAGCATAGAATCTTATATTTTTAATAGTTTTATATGGCATAAATAAGGTGTTGCAAGCTTGGTTTTAAATTAAAGGAAAGTATCTTATAGTTAAGCAGATTGTTACTTCTTCTTCTTTTTTCTTCAGGCTATATTTTTTCCAGTATAATATGCAATCATTTCGGGTATACATGAATTATCTTCTTCGATCAATCATAATTTTCGAATTGTTTTCTTCATATCATTAAACGAATCTAGAAATTTCGCATGCTCAAAAGCGTCTTTAAGAGATCGATTATAATAAACATTCCCTATCACTTATTCTAGAGATACACTCAAACGATAATTTTTTGAATGTCTAACACCCATATCATAGAGAGCTTGATTATAGTTTGACATCAACTCATCAAATGTCTTCTTTTCTTTCAAATGATCATTAATATGTAAGTAAACTCATAAGATTATGTATTTATATTTAGTGTACATGTGTGCATATTTTGAGAAACATCACCAAGTAGATTCAAGGTTGAGTTTATAATCTGATATATGTTTGTTTGCTGATATCTGAACTAATAACTTGTTTTTGGCAATTCTATTTTTCAACGTGTAGATACCAAGTTATGTATGTGCATAGAAAACTTTGACACTTCAAATCATGGTCGCAATCAAATTCATTCGATAGTAGATGTGAAACAACAATACACCTCGATATATAACAAGTTAATACTTTTCAGTAAAATCAGTTACAACATAAATCGCACTTCTCATGGCAGTCACTAGAGAAATGATATCGACTGAAATAGTAGTAGTCGATTTTCATGAAAATAGGGAATATGCAACGAGACTTACATTCGATGCAAATTGGTCGAGACATACTATTGTTATGAACCGTCTTAAAGGGTTTCGCGAGCACTATCAATATTTTTCCGGGGTTTGAGACCTCAGACACATTTTTGAGTTTACGAATGCGAGGGTGTCATCTTTTGACTGACAAAAGCCATTACATGGCGCACAACATTGATGATATACAAATAAAGCCACTTGAAAAGTTCAGAGATGAAAAACAAAAATGAAAAAAAAACAAACACGCGATCTTACGACATATGTCCCATTTGAAAACTCTTATCTTGACCAATCAATGTTAGTAATCCACTATATCACATAATAACTGGTTTCAAACTTCAAGATCTCGCTTTTGAAGACAATCTCAATCTCAGAAACTTAACAACTTTGGTTTGACTTTTATAGTTAAACCCGACTCTAAACCAATTGAGAACCAATACTAATTTAACTAAGCCAGAAAAATTGATTCCAAATCTGAACTACCTTACCAACTCCCGATTCGTTCGTTCTCACACACTTTGGTCAACAAACCCCTTTAATACCTAATAAATCAAGCCATAATATATTTTTAATTGTAAAATAAAAAAAACGCAAAAACCAAAAATCAAAGTAATGCAAAAAAAAAAAAAAAATTCATCGAAAGATTAATCTAAACTAATCATCAACCTATGATTCTTTTTTTTTGGTAAATAGTTATAATTTTTTTTTAGCTACAATTAACAAGATCTTCTTGTCGTCGATACAAAATGGTTGAAATTGGCATTAGTGAAGGAACGCGTAAATCCTATCAAGCCAGCACCAAAATAATATTTCCATAAAAATGACTTGACAGTTTTATTCAATGAATAAAAATGGAATATTTAAAACAATCTTCCATATTAATTAAGCAAACCGATCTTAATTTTCCATTTAAAGAATTATATCATTACATTTTTACAAAAGTCAACTCCTTATATTTTGGACAGTAGTAATATTATGTCATACGTGAATATATACTAGGATATATTATGACGACAGCGACAAGTTATATGATTGAGATAAAATAAATGTCCCCAAAAAATTAAAAACGAATCAACTTCTAATAATTAGATTATTAGATGAGAGCGTTTCTTATCTTGATTCTTTGATCTGTGTTCCTATCTGTTTCCGTCAATGGCAAAAGATTTGGTCTAAAAAAGGAAGTTACGAAACAAAAAAACGTTTCAATTCTCATTCATCTCCTAAAAACGTATCTCTCTCTCTCTCTCTCTCTTTCTCTTTCTCTATCTCCGCCGTGAATGGCAACACAAGGGATGGCTCAGCCGTCGGCGAAGAAAAGAAGCTTCCTCCTCCGTGATATCTTCAAACTTTGCCGATCAATCTCAAGGGTTTTTCCTCGTGACAAACCTAAACATCATCATAAGACTAAACATGAAACCAAACGTTTTGATGAAGAACCTAAACGGAATAAACCAAACGCCTTCGATTTTCGGGTTAGTTTTCGATGTTTTCAATGATTTGTTTTGAATGATTTTTGTTGAATTTGGTAAATATGTTTTTCTAGGAAACGAAAGGGACGGGTGATAATAATAAGGTGGAAGGTGTGAGTCTTTGTAAGGTTCGTAGTTATAGATTTGACAACACCAATACCAATTTCGTGGGGAGCAAGAAATCTCTTTCAAGAAGTTGTAGCCAGAACACAGCCACAGCCACAACGAATCCGACATTGCGGAGTTTATCGTTTATAGGGAGGAGCAAAAGCAGCAGCAATAGGATGACGGAATCCGGTGGATTTATGCCGACACTTATGAGATCGACAACCACGGTTCCAAGAAGCTTTGCAAACCCGATTTTGTATTCGAGTTCCTCGGCCAAAGTGGCTAAACCTTCTCCAACAGAGAAGAAACTACGCTGTACGCTCGAGGAGCTATGTAACGGATGTACCAAGAAGATCAAGATCACGAGAGATGTTATTACTAGCTCAGGGTTTGTTTTGTTTCTTTACCAAAGACCTAACTTGGATACGAAGTTTTCGCGAAAAGAAGACTAACTTACTAAGTTTTTGTGGTTTATAGGCAAATGTGCGAGGAGGAAGAGACGGTGGAAATAAAAGTGAAACCGGGATGGAAAGGAGGAACGAAAGTAACATTCGAAGGCAAAGGGAACGAGGCAATGGGGAGTGTACCGGCTGACTTGACATTCGTGATTGTTGAGAAAGAGCATGAGGTGTTTAAAAGAGAAGGAGATAACCTCGAAATGGCGGTGGAAGTCTCTCTACTCGAAGCTTTAACGGGGTGCGAGCTCTCTGTTGCTTTACTTGATGGTGACAATATGAGTTTGAGGATAGAAGATGTTATTCACCCTGGATATGTTACAGTGGTTCAAGGCAAAGGAATGCCAAATCTAAAGGAGAAAGGGAAGAGAGGAGATTTGAGAGTTCGGTTTCGGACTAAGTTCCCGCAACATCTTACAGATGAACAAAGGGCAGAGATTCATAGCATTCTTCAAGACTCTTCTTGATTTGTTGCTTAAGACTTTCTTTCCCTTTATAGGGGAGCTTTTACAACATGGTTTAGATAAAAAATCCAAAGAGATTTTTACTCTGTGTCATCTTTGTTTGTAAACAACCAAGTTGAAATGAAGAAACCGGTTTCCATAATCAACCAAAAACTTTTATTTATCGACTTCAATATTCATCCCCCCACAAAACCAAAACATATATTTGAAAACCAATAAGTTCATATTTGAAAAACCAAGAAAATAAGATACAGGAGGAAATGTCCCCGGCCATTTACCATTTAAGATAAACCGAGAAGAACTTTGAATATATCGAATATATTGCTGTCGACAAGGGCTTTTAACAATCTAAGCTTTCCTCTCGAGTAAGGCGGATACCTGACTGCTGAATCACCGAAAAGGCTTCTGTAGAGAACAGCCTTCTTGTGACTAAAAGCATCAAATGAGAATTTACCATGGTAAGCACCCATTCCACTTTCGCCAACTCCTCCAAATGGTAATGTGTGAAGTGCAAGCTGCAAAATATCGGATGTTGATAGCGCTTTAGTATAATGATAAATGCTATTCGTGCAATGTACTTAGCTTGTATAGATCAGATAGAGGTAGTGTTTTTTTACATGAACAGCTATGTCGTTCACCACTATGCCTCCAGCGGAGACTGTCGTTGCAAATCTCTCTTTCAGCTTCTTGTTATGAGTAAACAAGTATGCCGCAAGTGGCTTAGGCCGAGAGCGAATCACGTCAAAACTCTCTTCCAAATTGTTGAGCTGTGAGGAACAAAAGAGAGTGTTATAACATTTGTCTTCAAGAGATGAAGCAGAGCCTATACAGAATGGTAAATTGTTCCTACCGTGAGAATTGGAAGGAGAGGGCCAAATATTTCTTCACTCATGATCAGAGAATCTAATGGTACGTCGAGCAAGATTGTTGGAGCAATTTTCCTTAAAAATGGAGACAAAAGATTAGCATGAGTGAAAAAGGTGATGATGAGAATATAAAGAGAAGAAACTCACAGATTTTCTCTGTCCTTTTCACCACCGTAGACGATTTTGTCAGAAACTTCCTTCTCATCTAACAGCTTAGACAAGCGATCAAAGTGAGTCGAGTTTACGATACGTGACATATCTTTAGACTCCATAGGGTTCTTCCCATAAAATGTCTCCAATTCTTTCTTCATGGCATCAATCTTGAAAAGAGAAAAGAGAAGGTCAAATACTAAAATGCATCAAGAATCTAATCTTAAAGTTCTTAACCCTTACCACTTTTGGAGCATATTCTTTTGTCGTCAAGATATAGTCTGGCGAAACGCAAGCCTGTCCGTTGTTGCAACCCCATTTGCCTGCGATTATCCGCCTCACAGTAACCTTCAAAAGACAAAAGGAGCAAATTACATTAACCACAGTACAAACAAAACACATTGCATGACTCTGGATGAAGTATTCACTATTCAGTACTTTCAAATCGGTATCCGAGTCTACAACGACAGGAGATTTTCCTCCAAGCTCCAAGACAACCGGTGTGAGATGCTTCGCAGCTGCCGCCATTATGACACGCCCAATTTTTGAACTACCTAACCAAACAATAGCAGGAAATATCACATTTTGATCCTCATGTATATAACATTTGAAAAGAAACACATAAGTCAAGTTAATAAGAACCTGTGTAGAATATCTTGTCCCACTTCTGCTCCAGCAGAGCAGTTGTTTCAGTAACAGCTCCTTCGACAACTCGCACCGCAGAAGAGTCAAGATACTGTTCCATTAACTTCGCGAGCAGAGCAGACGAAGCTGGAGCCAATTCCGATGGCTTCAAGACAACAGCATTCCCAGCAGAAATCGCACCAATAACAGGATCAATAGACAACACTTGCAAAGAAACAAAAAAAGTGTCACACTTCATACACAATGTATACTAATTTAGAGTAAAAAGTCAATCAATCAAGGGATGTCTAACATACGGAAAGGATAGTTCCAAGCTGATATTACTAGTACAACTCCAAGAGGCTCAGACACAATCTCGGCCGATGCAGGAAACGTTGTTAGAGAAGTTTTGGCCTGAACCGAAAAACAGAACAACGATTAGCAACTTAACATATATAACAACAACAAACTCTACTCAAAGCACACACCTTCTCCGGCGCCATCCAGTTCTTTAGCTGCTTAAGAGTTAACTTGATAGAGTTTCTCAATAGAGATACCTACATAATTAATCAACCATCATAATCAAATTATACTAATCTAATACTGATTAAAGAAAAAAACCACTTAAAAACAAGACAAAGAAATGGTAGGGAGCAAAAACTAATCAAACTTTACTCACTAGTACTCTCTGTTGGTAAAACATTAAATGAGGAAAGGTCAGTTTTAAGAAGATCTGTGTTGTCATTGGATAAAAACATGGTCACATAGTTAAGGAACAGAAGTGATGAAAAACGTGTGAATCCCCACAAGGTTGGTGATAAAATTTAATGTTATATGGTACTCCACAAGGTTGGAGTAGTTTAACAGTAGCAGAAGAAAATTAAATGTGGATTTGCTTTCAATATAGGACCCAATATTTTTATAGTAACATAAAGTTACCTGCATTCTAAGTTGATAGATACTAGTATTAACTTATCAAGAAGTTGCATTGAAGTTGTATTGGGGACAGTGGTGTACATGTGTCGACACATAACATCATCGACGTTGCAACTATGGTCATAGACAATAATGAGACCGACCAAGTAGGGGATTATGTTAATCCAATTATAGAGGTTTGGCTAATGTGTTTAAGAGTCACTAATTAAAGAAATATCACTAAGCATATTATGTCAGCAGCAAATATTGCTTGCGACATCTGATTCTGACTCATAACCATACCAATAATTGGGGTTTTAATCATAGATTTAACATCAAATATTCGGATTTCGCTAGAACTCCTGACTAATCACAGAAGTGATCATGTTTTTAGTAAAGAATGTTCCGCAAACCCATCACATATAAAATATTCTAGCTAAATATTTTTCGGGGGCTATCTAACTAACTACAGAGATCTCCGTGAAAGCATGAATTCAGTAAAAGTTTTCCAAAGTCCAACGAATCACCATTAACAAAACACTTGAACCGCTGAACGTTTAGAAATTTCCAACGAATTTCTGACAAATCTATGTTTTCTTCCAACATTTTTTAACAACTTTTGTTGATCGGAAATTCATTAGAAAACTCTTGTTCCAACGAATTTCAACTAATCCAGTCGTTGAAATATCTTATGTTTTCTTGTAGTTAACTACAAACTAAACCTACCTCAAATAAAACAACAAGTTTTATCCCATGGTTAACATAGCTAAAGAGTTTCCCACAAACTTACTACGAATAACCAAAAAACTAACCCTCACGCAATATTTCACACCCTAAAATCGAACTTAATTGGGACTATTTTTCATCTAATACCACAATGCCACCACACAGATTAAACCATAACAATAAATTGAATCTTCAATCAAAATTCAAAGATTCAAACTAGAAACTGACCAATCACAATCAATTCTCTAAAAACTCGAAAAAAGCAATCTGAAGAAAGTGAGAGCATAAAGAGAAATAAGAATCCTAACCTCATAAACAGAAGATTCAAGCTCAGGCTTACCAAGATCGTCGCGAAGAGCCGCGACAATCTCAGGCTCATGATTATCACACATAATCAAAAGTTGCTTAAGCTGAGTCACTCTCCATTCATAACCACGAGTCACACCATCATCAAAACTCCGACGAAGATCCGTCACCAAAACACTCGCATCCGCCGCTCCAAACATCTTCTTCGCCGCCATTCCTCAAAATCTCTCTTACGTGTTTCAAAAACGTACGCAAAAATAAAATAAAAAAATTATTAACACAGCAATCACGGGAAAGAGAGAAGAGAAAAGAGAGAAGAGAACAAATATTGAGTTCGGATCCCGAGAAATACTGATATTGATTTTGTTGAATCAAAAAAAATAAAGATTCTTTTCGTGGATATTGACGTTGCTCGTGCCAAATAAAAAGTGATAAGTTTCTTACTTTTTTTCCTCAAAATTGATAACAAGAAAAAACATGCGTTACAATATTTATAGAGATGAAGAAGAGACGTCAAAAAGAGAATAAAAAAAGAGAATATTAAGAAAAGATAATTTAATAACGACAAAATAAGGATAAAATATATTTCTTTCTAGAAATTGTGACTCATATAACTTGATAGATATTTATGAGACGAAAAGACGTAAAACAAAATAATTTAATAACGACAATAATATTTTTTTCATAATTTAATAAGGACAAAACAAGAATAAAATATTATATTAAAAAGGTAAGGAAGATAATGAATGTGCGTGTTCGAATGAGTGATGTAAGAGAAGAGAGGCGTGTGGGAATTACTCGCGGAGCATAAGCGAACTCACAACTCACGTGTGAGAGCGTGTTTAACACGTGATACATGAGCGCGTGTGGTTTTGGGTTAGTGAGAGAAAAGCGTACCAAGAGCAGCGAGTTCGATGGAGCTTCCTTGGCCGATGACGACCGTGTCGATGAGACTCATCAACGGTCCACAAATCCACATCCCCATCGCCGGACCTGTGAACTTCACTATCTCTTTCATCTGTTCCCATATGCTCTGTTTCACCAGATCCCCTCTCTTCTTCTCCGAGTTTTCTCCGAGTTTTCTCCGAGTTAGCACCGATTCTGTGACTAGTGTTTGGTGGGAGTTAACCGGAAACGGTCTTGGTTTGGGAAAGAGAGGAGAGAAAAGGGTCAATCTTTGGGATTTGATTAGCATTTTGATTGATTTGGTTAAGAGAAAATTGGTGAATCTCATCACCGCTATGAAGTTTTTGGTTTTTTTTGGCGCCTCGAGATTTGTATACGGAAAAAAACAGAACCCAACCAAATCTTTATACTACTCTCTCTTTACCACGTGATGCTTTTCTTTTCTTTTCTTTTTTCTTCTGAAATTACTCGTCTACGAAATTACAGTTAAAATAAAATAACCCATTAAAATAAAATAACCCAATAATATATTGATAGTAGGTAGTGTTGGGCTGGGTAAAGGTTTCTATTTCAATTTCTGTTTCTTCCATTTTAATATTATCTACGTTATATTTGTTGGGTGAGACCGGAAGATATTAATAGAAGAAAATAAAATAGTTGAATTACA